TGCCCCCTGCTGATTGGGTTGTGTCAGTGTGATTTACAAGCCCAGGCTACGAGGTGAGAGTGGGGGGTTGGAGGTCCGAAGTGGGAGCAGGAGTCGGAGAAATAATAATCTGTTCTGAAGCTGGAGTCGGAGAAACTGGAGTCAGAGAAGCTGGAGTCGGAGAAACCGGAAGAGAATGCTGGAGACATGGGTCCGCGTGTCTTTGTACACGTAGAGGCTCTGTGCCGCGAGGTTGGAGGTCGGAGTGGGGAGCTGGAGTCGTATGGGTAGTTCCCTGTCCGGAAGGCGGGGTCCGCGTCGCCAGCGTAGTCGATGTGTCCGCAGGCGGTGAAATGCAAGCGTGTTCAGCCAGAGCCTCCATGCTGGAGCCGTGGTGGCAGGAATCGATTTTGGTAGACACAAAATTGTCGGTGGCATTCGGTCAAACTGTGCATGTAGGGAACCGAGGTCGGCACCTGTATCCTGGCGGTGGTACCTTTGCCCCCTTCCGTAGTCGGATGCGAAAATGAAGATGAAATTGATGATGTCGAATGCATGCTGGATCCTTAAGGGAACGTCGAGGTGGGATCAGGAGTCAGAGAAGGGTAAGGACGACTATATATATATACATATATGTATCAGTAGGGGTGGACTTATCGGTAGCTTCGCCCCTGGCATCCACCCTCGCAACTGGGTGCATACATTCCGTGGCGGTGGACATGTCGGTGGCTTTGCCCGTAATCTCCACGTCGCAAAATTCAAAATAGTTTCCATTCGTTTCCAATGTAGATTGTGGTTGGTCGGTACTATCACGCGAACCTGTATCCAGTGCCCGCCGCGTGTCCTACTTGTTTTTGCCCTTGGATTTGCCTTTTGGCGCACCTTTCATTCCGAGGCGGGACCGATATATACTGGAGTCGCATTTCTCGGTCAAGGCGATCAGCTTCTCATGTTGTTGGAGCTCTTCCCAGTTCTGCCACACTTCCTCCCACTCGCGGTGAATAGTGCCATCGCGTGCATGTACAGTGAACGCCAGCTGGCCGCCAACGTGGACTTGATACGGAGCACAGTCGTTGACTCTGATATTGTACTCGTTGCCCATATCATGTTTGAGCAAATACTTAACGCCAAACGCAAAGTTACTGACTGCTCATTCACACGGTTCTCTAGCCTGTGATGCCCAGACTGTTGGAACCCCGTTGTAAGCGTTTGCTCCAGAAGAGCGCTACGGCGGTGTCTCGCTTTAGCATATCGCCAAACTCCACACATAACTTGTTACGAACATCCCCTTTAGCGTACAAATTCTTGGGAATGGGGCCGTTCATGTTGGCGAGCTGTTCCGGGATGAACTCGGTCGCGGCGGCCTCGGACTCGAAGTTATTCAGGTTGCCCATGACCGTTGTGACGGAACGCTTGCCGTTGTAGTGGTTTTCGTTTGAGTAGCCTGATCGTGGAGTATGATTCCCGTAGTCTTTGAAGTCATGTTTGATATTGTCGATATGTCCTTTCGTCGTTTTGTCCATGTTGGTCATCCCCATCTGGACATAGTTAATATCGTTTGAAACCGTTTTTTGAAGAGCGTCGACGTCTTTCCTCATATCCCCAAGTTGTGATTTCAGCGGTGCAGTGGCGTCGTCAAGGTCCTTGCGGGAGACGCCGTGTTTCTTGATGGCCGCGATGTCTCGCTGGATTGGGTGAAGCTGGGTGACAATCAGGTTCGCGATCGCACTTAATGTAAGTGGTTCTTCTGCTGATCCGGATGCGCCTGTTCCCACCTGAAGGGTAGTTGAAGTCGGCCTGCAACACCTGTGGAACCTTCAGGGGGGTCTCCTGTGTCAAGTCTGGCTGTGACCTCTAACCCGTCCAATTCATGCAGTGGGCTGTTAATCCTTTGTTGTTTTGCCTCTGGCCGCGTTGGAGTACTGAGAACGTGACGTTCCGGCATCCCCGCCAAGAATGGTGGCACGAGAGAACGGGAAATACTGTGGTAGGAATCGTAAGCGTAAGCGGAAACCGAGGTGGAAACCTAAGGGATCATTTTTGAACCTTGAGCCTTGAACCTTGAGCCAAAGAACCCTTGAGCCAAAGCACCCCTCAGGCCCCCCAGGGGGGTACGATCGAAGACGAAGATGGCGGGTATCGAGGGTTTGGGATATACGTGTTGAGTGGCCCGTGATTAGATAAGAGCGTGCAGTCTTAAATGTCTTGTGTTTGTTGTTTTTGCTTATTTTGCTGTGGTTGCTGTTGTTGAAAAGGAGCGGGCGCCGGCCCCCGGCGCCCTCCAACAAAATCGGGGCCTAAGAGACGGGGGTCAGTGCAAAGGGGGTCAGCCAGGGCACCGGATCCTGCAGGATCCTGCGAAGACCCCCTCTGGCTGACCCGGGTTAGCGAGCCGCTCGTGGCCGCGAGGCGTCAGCGCATGTTGGCTGATCCGTGATTGCGAAGACTTGCGTTGCAGTGTTTTTTGGTTTCTTGCTGACCCGGGTCTGGATTGACCCTGGTCAGAAGATCCCCGACAGAAACAAAGACAACAACAATCATTTTAATATTGTTCGCCTTTATTTGCTCGAGTGTCCAATAACGCGTATTTCTCAAACCCTCGATACCCGCCCTCTTCGTTTTCGATCGAACCCCTTTTGGGGGGTATGCCTTTCTTCCCCGCAGGCCGGGCCCCGGCAAGCGGCGGGGCGGCCGTGGACCGTCGGCCTGGCCAGCGGCAGCGCTGATCGGCGGGGCGGCCGCGGACCGTCGACCCGACCCCAGGAGTGACGGACCGGCCACGACGACGACGACGACGTCGACGGCGACGACGACGACGGCGACGACGAGCGAAAGCGAGAGCGAGAGAGAACGACAGCAGGGCCACGAAGGACACGAAGTAGGCCACGAAGGGCGACAGCGGGGACACGAAGGGAATGCGCATGGGGCCACGAAGAGCGCGAACGAGCGGGGGCCACGAAGGGCAGATAATGCGGGGCCACAGAAGGCAACAATGGGGTCATTGAGGGTAGCAACTGGGCCACCTAGGACAGTGATGGGGGCCAAACACAGCGACAGCGGGGCCACGAGAGGCACGCACATGGGGCCACAACGGGCGCGACTCCTGGGTGCCTGGGTGTCGGGTGCGCGGCGCTTGAGCAAATTGCAGGAAATTCCAAAGCAAGGGCGCTATTCTTCAGTAAATTGCAAGCAAGTCTCCAGCGAGAGCGTGACTCCAGAGCTCTGGGAGAGCGATTCTTGAATCAATTGTAAGGAAGTCTCAAGCGAGAGCGCGATTCTTTAATCAAATGCGAGGAAGTCTCGGGCGGGAGCGGGGGCCTTGGCTAAATTGTTAGGAAGTCTCAGGCGGGAGCCGTTGTTGTTGTAACCCAGGGGCCAGGGGCGCTGAGAAAAACAGTATGCACCGGTGATGGGGGATCAACAATATTTTTTCAGGACTGAGGCTTCAACAACAACAACAACGCTCACGGCTCCCGCTTTAAACTTCTCGCAAGTCGCTGAGGGATGATGGAGTTTCACTGGGGTCTCGGCGCCCCTCGCCCCACACCCCTACGTCCTCGCACCCTCACGGCCCCAGACACCCAACCCTTTGGGGCTGCTGCCAAAGCTTTGTGAATCCTTTTAGGGATTGCGCCATAGCTGTATGGATCCGTGTAGGGATCGGTCCTTCCACGAATCCCAGCAGAGTATGGATCCGTATAGGGATCGGTCCCTATACGGATCCTACCAGGGCTGTGTGGTTCCCCGTAGGGGCGGTACCACAATTTTATGGGTCCGTATGGGGGTCCTACCACAGGTGTAGGGATCCCTATAGCGATCCAACTACAGTTGGATGGATCCCTACAGGGATCGCGCCACAGCTTTATGGGTGCGTCAAGGGGATCTTTCCACAGCTGCATCGGTCCCTATAGGGATCAATTCATATTTGTATGAGTCCCTGATGGGATCGTACCACAGATGTAGGGAGATCCCTATAAACGTCCAACCACAGTTGTGTCGGTCCCTAAAAGGATCATTCCACAGCTGTGCGGATCCCTACAGGGAGCACGCTTTGTCTGTATGGGCCCCAGTGGGGGATCGTGCTACAGCTGTATGGACCCCTATAGGGATCCCATCACAGCTGGGAATATCCGTATAAAGATTATATCGCAGCTGGCGCGATCCCTACAGGGATCCTAGTATTGCTGGTTCCCGTTAAACTGGTAGGATCCCTATAGGGATCCTTTTACAGCTGGTAGGATCTTTAAACAGGGGTCCTAGTACAGCTGGGAGGATGCGTATATGGATCCTATTGCAGTTGGTACGATCCCCATCGGGATCCTATGCCAGCTGGTAATCCCTATACGGGGTCCTATGGCACCTGGCAGGGTCCTTATATGGATCCTATCGCAGCTAGCACGGTCGGTCCCTACATTGATTCTGCTACAGCTGGCACGATCCATATAGGGATCCTATTACAGCTGGTCGGATCCTTATGGGGATCCTTTTGCATCTGGGAGGATCTCCATAAGGATCCGATAGCAGCTGGTAGGATTTCTATAGGGATCCTAAGACAGCTGATAGGATCCCAATAGGGACCGTATTGCAACTGGTAGGATTCCTGTAAGGTTCCCTTAGGATCCCTGTAGGGTTTCTGTAGGATCCCGAAAGGTTTTGTAATAGGAGTCGTAAGAAGGGCCCATCGAACGTTTCGCTTCGCTAGCGCGCACACGTACGTAACCACCCGATTCAGTACAGGAGTCCTGAGTCCCGATTCTGTCCGGCGTTGTTGTTGTTGTTGTTGTTGTTGTTGTTGTTGTTGTTGTTGTTGTTGTTGATGTGTGTTTTTGTTGTTGTTGTTGTTGCTGTTGTTGTTGCTGTTGTTGTTGCTGTTGTTGTTTGGGGGGGGGACCCTGGGTGCCGGGGACGACTCCTGTTCCCCCCCCAGGAGGATAGTTCTGGAGGGGCCCCGAGCGCCGGGGGCCAGGGAGGATCCCTGTCCTTCTTGTTGTTGTTGCTGTTGCTGATCCCCCCGCCGCGAGGCCGAGCGCGAGCGGGACGAGACCGCGGAGCGGCTGCGCAGCGCCAAACGCGGCATGGGCGGTTTGGAGACGTCCTTGAGGCCGCCGCCCGTCGGGGAGCGACGAGCGACAACGTCGACGACGACGACGACGACCGCCACGACGACGACTACCACCGCGACGACGACGACCACCACCACGACAACGACGCCCACGGCCGCCACGATGCGCCCACGACGATTACGACGACGACCACGACCACCACGACCGCAACGACGACGCTGGCGACCGAAGGCACCTGCCGGCGGCGCCCCGTCGCGGCGCTGGGTCGGCACGTTTCTTTTGCCTTTCCGGTTGAAGGCAAAGTTTGGCCAAGGGGCGGCCTCTCACGGGTGGTGTGGCCTCCGCTTGCGGCGGGGGAAAGTTTGTTACAGTGGTCTAAGGCAGCGGGCGCTCTCGCGCGCAGTGGTTTAAGGAAGTGGGCGCCACAATGCACGTGAAAATGCGCAGCCAAAGCCAGCCCGTCGATTATGATATTGTTTGTTTCAGTCGTTCGAAGCCGATGCGTTGGAATCCGCAAGCCTGCCGCGAACTGCCCTCGGTGAGGGCCCTTGTCTTGGGAGGGTTTGGGATTGTGGATGAGGAGATGGTGGGGGACATGGGTGTCGGTGACCCTTGCGTGCGCATGCTCTGTCAGGGCTTCCTGGCAAAGCTCCCGCGTGAGCCTCTCCTGTCTTCGCTTGCCCCATACAGCGCCCGCCCTTGGTGATAGGCAGATTCTCCACCACCACTACCATAGGTAGGAGAGGGAGGAGGAGGAGGAGGAGGAGGAGGAGGAGGAGGAGGAGGATCTCCCCATGCTCTCTTCTCCCCAGTCCTACCCATGGTAGTGGTGGTAGAAAGGTGGCCCATCACTTGGTGTTTTGACCTCTCGCTCTATGGGTACTGGGCCTGGGGGTCGGTCTGGCGGCTCCGCGGTGGCCGTCGCCGCCCGTTGCCGCCTCTCCGCCGGGCCGTCGTGTATTGGCCTGCGGGTCAGTCTGGCGGCTCCGTGGTCGCCGTCGCCAATCGTCTGGGCCTTGGGGGTCGGTCTGGAGTCTGGAGGCTCTGTGGTCGCCGTCGCCGCCCCGTCGCCGCCTCGTCGCCGCCTCGTCGCCGCCTCGTCGCAATAACGAGGACTGCGCTCCATGGCTTGCACCACAAGAAATTCGCTCCACAAAGATTGCACCACAGAGATTGCACCACACCGGTTGCATAACATCGATGGCAGCACATACGCTGCTCCACGTAGATTGCACGATTGCGCACTACACAAATTGCACCACATTGATTACACCACATTGGCTGCACCACGTTGATTGCACCACATCGGTTGCATTCGTAAGGGGTGACGGGGTTTCGACGAAACCTCTTCTTCGTCGTTTTTGCTCCCTGGCCGTTTTCCTCGTCCTCCTTCTTATCATTCGTCTTCCTTTCTTCTAACCTTGTACTGACCAGGCGGGCGCTCTCGTCTTGCTGCTGTCCTCGCTTGTCGAACGCGCGCCTCGCCCTAGAACAGAACTTGCACCAGGTGAGATCTTGTTCCTCCATCTCCTCCTCCTCCTCCTCCTCCTCATAATCCTCCTCGCACTTTTATTGCAGTCGTAGCCTCAATTTCCCCTAACACCCAAACCGTTGGTCCTCATCGCCCTCGTCATCACCATCATCGCCATCGCCGCCAGCATCACCCTTTGTCATCACGATTTCTACCAACCCCACCACCGCCATCGCCATCGTCATTATCGTAATGATCACCATCACCATCACCACCGTCAGCGCCACAACCGTCACCGCGTGTGATTGTAAGCCAGACCATCCTCATGATTCAATCAGCACTTGGCCCATCGCCAGATCACCATCGTAACCACCGTCATCAACTACACGCCGTCAACCTCACCATCTCCATACTCGTCATTTCAGTACCATCATCCTGATCACCATCGCCATTACTTACCATCACCAGCATCAGCTTCAACATCAGCATTGTCAGCACCACGGCAGTTGTCATCATCATCATCATCATCATCATCATCGTCGCTACTATCATCATGCCGTCGTGTGCTCCTCCCTGCTCAGTCCTCCAGTCTCTCTCTCCTCTTCAGCGGGCCGAACGCCCACAGCCATCAGGAGTGGAAGGCGCTCAAACCGTCTTTACGCTTCCGGTACATCTTAGCCTTTGCGCGTCTAGATACGCGAAATTGAAGTTATGAATGCCTTTACTCCATCCGCTGTTGGCCGCCTGCTGTCGAGCAGGCTGGAGGAATGCGGGGTCTGCGGACAGGGTTACGGGGATGAATAACATGGGAATTGTAGAGGAGAAGGCGGAGGGAAACGGTGATGATGAGGAGGATGCAGGGGGGGATGAGGATGAGGAGGAGAAGCTGCTGGGTGAGTGAGGGGAGGAGGGAGGAGCTTCCAGCTCCTCCTCTCTGCCCTCACTCACCTGCTTCTCCTGATTTGGCCCTCCAGGGGCCTGCATCTTGGATTTGTCCATCCCGTGGATCACTACGCAGTGGCCGAGCTCGATAGCGTTGGCCTTTGTCAACAGCTCGATAGCGTTGGCCTTTGTCAAATGCGGTGGGCCTGCTCTTATGGAAGCTAATGCAGCCTTGCGCACAAACGTGCTTTGCAACTGCGATGAGCCGCCGGCCTCGTGGAAGCATTCTCGAGTATCCTTTCTTTTCAAGAAAGGGGATCTTGAATTGCAACAGGATTGGTGACCGATCTCAATCTTGCCAATTCTGCACAAATTCTACAGCATGATCATGCACGACCGTTTACAGGTATATGTGGCACTGGGGGAGTTCATCGACCAGGCCGGTTTCAACAAGGGGTTTTCTTGCGACGACCAATTTCTGACATTGGCACTCTCGCGCGAAACGTGTTGGAAGTTCGGGAAAGAGCTTTGGGTTGCCGCAGTTGATTTTGAGAAGGCTCCGATTCGACCTCGACAGTATATGGACAGCGCTCCGCGCCCAACGTGTTCCTGAACCGTACATTCAAGCTCTGGCTCGTGTCTACCAGGGCCAGACGGCGCACGTCGTGTCAGACCAGAGCAGCCAGACGTGCAAACTGGAGCGAGGCACCGCCAAGGAAACCCATTCAGTCCAGCTCCTTTTTGATGCGGTCCTGCAGCGTTTCATGCGCGATTCAGAAAGGTTTCGTAGAGAAGGGACGGGCGCGGTGCTCGCATTGGAAACGAGTACCTCACACAGTCACGTTTTGCTGATTACATTCTATTGGTGGGATCGACTCGTGCCCAGGTCCGCCACATGCTGTGCGACTTGCAGACGGCAGCCGGGGAGTGTTGGCTCAAGCTGCACATGGGCAAGACAAAGACCTTGTCTAATGTAGAAGTACGAAAATGGGTGCTGCGGCAGAAGCAAGTCCAGATGAGGAAAGGCGACGTTGATGATATCCCTTTTTGACGCTGGCACTGTTCATTTGGGTGGGAAGGCTGGTTTCGTTTGCTGATTTTCACGACGTCGAACTGACTCGCAGTTTCCCTCGTGCGTGGGCAGCGTTTGGGACATTCAAAATGGTGTTGACCAGTATGCATTATCCGCGGCGTTGCAGAATGCGTCTGTTCGACGCGACGGTGACTCCCTCCGTGCTATACGGCAGCGGGTGCTGGAAAATGACGACACAGAGGGCTCGCAGTTTACAAACCGAGGGGTGAAACATGATGCGGCGAATCATTGGGACCATGGGCATCGAGCAGGAAAACTGGGTAAACTGGATTACGCGCGCCACCAGGCGGGCTCAAGGACTTTTCTGGCGAGCCGTTACCGCAGCTTGGGCGATCAACAGCAGGAGAGAAAACGCCGATTGCAATGCCGAGCTCAGCAGTTCGAGGACGGACGTTGGCCCGCCAAATTTCTGGATTGGACACCTTAGGGCGTTCGCGTGACCGGTCGGCCCCGACGGCGCCGCGCAGATTGACCCTGGATGCTAGTTTTCTTTTAGCGAGCCCGGCTGCCCCCCAGGGGCGCGGGCGCGGGGCCACCCGCAGCGCTGCGTCCTGTTTTGTCCTGTCCTCTCTAGGATCGAACAGCGGGGTGCCGGGCCAGCCGAAGGGGACGTGCACCACGTTGCCTTTGTCAGCCTTGGTGCATACGCTGTCCTGTAGCAGTTTGGCAGTTTGAAGCCCTCGCCGTCTGACTCGGCGACTTCATGAAGATCTGGAGGGCAATGCAATTGCCATTTTTTCGTCTTGTCGAGTGCATTGTGAAATACATGTTGTCGTTTAGGGGGATGATGGGAGATGCGTGGCCTGCGAGCGGGGGCGCAAGTGGACCATGACGCAGTGCGTCCGCGCGACCTGCGCACAGCCATGGCGACCATGTCGAGAAAAAGGCCCTTGGCGAAGCTCTCTAGGCCACCTCCAGAGTTAGAGCGAGTGGAGTTGAACTCTGGCATCTCCTGCGAGGCGCGCCCAGAGCACCCGAGCCATTTTTCGCTGCGGTCTTCGAAGTCACCCCGATGCATTGTGATTTGTCCCAACCATCCTGTGGTGTTGGGTCCTCGTTTTGAAGAGACAGCGCCCCACGTTCCTTTCCGCTCTCCTCCTCCTCCTCCTCCTCCTCTTCCTCCTCCTCCTCCCATCACCATCACCAGCATCATCATCATTATCATCATCATCATCATCATCATCATCATCATCATCATCATCATCATCATCATCATCATCTCTTACATCTCCTTACACCATCGTCACCATCATCACCGTCACCCATCATCCATCAGCATCTTCATCTACAGCATCATCCCCCTCCACATCCTCTTCATCATCGTCACCATCATCGTCCCCGCCGCCCATGCCGTCACACCCCTCACACATTTCGTGGCCCGCAGGGAACCCCACCTAAGGGCACAGTGGCGGTGTGCGCATGCGTCTCCCCCGCCCAGGACAGCGTTTCGTGGCCCCATAGGGAACTCCACCGAAGGCCCCAGTGGGGGCGTTCGCATGCGTCTCCCCCACCAGAACAGCGTTTCGTGGGCCCATATGGAGCTCCACCAAAGGCCCCAGTGGGGGTGTTCGCATGCGTCTCCCCCGCCCGGG